ACATAAGGAATACCATGGAGGACATTAGGAGAAGGAAGGGAAAAATGAAGGGGGGGAAATTGGAGGAGGGAGACGAACCATGAAAGACTATGGACTCCGAGAAACAAACTGAGGGTTTTAGAGGGGAGAGGGGGTGGGGTGTTGGGTTAGCTCGGTGATGGGTATTAAGGAGGGCACGTACTGCATGGAGCACTGGGTGTTATACGCAAACAATGAATCATGGAACACTACATCAAAAACGAATGATGTACTGTATGGTGACTAACATAATAAAAAACAATAGGTGATGGGGATTAAGGAGTGCACTTGTCATGAGCACTGGTGTTGTATGGAAGTGTTGAATCACTATATTGTATACCTGAAACTAATATTGCATTGTATGTTAACTGGAATTTAAATAAAAACTTATAAATAAATAAAATTAATGGGCACAAATTATATGTGTCATAGAAATGTCATAGAAATTATACTTAATGAATCATTCATAAAAATCACACTAATATGAAAAGAGCTTTACCATTAAAAAGCATTCTGTGCTACCTAGATTTGACAATGTATGTTTTATTTTAATCAGATTAACAATATCAGTACTTTCCTTTTAACAAAGACTTATATATGTATATATACTCAAATTTGCGCATGAAGAAGTTCTTTATATATTATCACTTTAAAATCATGTTACAAGGTACATTTTATTGTGACCTCACAAAGAATATTTAAATGTCCCTATTTTCTAGACAAATAGTCCAGTGACTGTATATATCATTTCGCGTGATAGGGATTTGGGGCACTTCTTTTCCTGAGTCTGTGTTTTAAAGTAGTTTTATAATGTTCATATATTACTTAACGAATGAAAAAAAATCAAAACACTTGCTTTCATTCAGACAAAAGGACTCTAACACAGTAATTAGAGCACAAAATTTCAAAGGGATATATGCATGAATTGATTTGGGTCATGTAGTCCAGTAAAAACAAAGCATTTATAAAAAAGTGATTTCTTAATTACATGTGTTTCTGAAACTTCACCATCATTGGTATTTGTCTTAATCTTCTGTGGCACTGTAATTTGTAGAAGCGATGCTTCAGGATCTACAGTAAGGAAAACATGTATGAACATTCCCCAGTGCCTGGCAGCAACCTTAATTCTTCACGTGTCCTGCCACATCCCATCACTCTCTGAACTTCCAAGCCCCAACACACACACACACACACACACACACACACACACACACACGGAGGCACGCACTCACCCGCCACAGAATCAGTCTTTGTACATTCCAGGAAGAGGCTCCCTCCACCATCCATACACTTTGGGGTGAGACCCTACCACCATCCAGAGACATTGAGACTTGTTGACCTCAGCCCCAGCAGGTGAAGAAGTACTGCTCTTAAGGCCCCACCTCCCAGAAGATGCGCGCCCTCTTCTCCAAGTGCGGGGTCAGGCAAGTGAGGGGCAAATGTCCCAGTCCTGCTCCGAACCCTCCAAGCAGCAAGCCCAGGAGGATCCTGACTCTAAGCGGGCTCTGACAAGACGCTGGGCTCTCCCCAGCCCAGACCCGGGGTTCTGGAGCAAGGTTCTGGGGCCCGCCACGCCCAGAGGCTCTGCGACAGGTGACCCTCTATGGAGCAGGGTCTTTCACTCACGATGGCCCGCGGAGGTCAGCCTGCCCAGGCCTGAGAGGATCAGCAGGAGAGACAGCATTGCGGGGCCTGCCGGCCTTGCCATGGTAATGGCTGTTGGCTGCGGAATGGCGGCCGCACGCGCGGGACCTGCGTTCCCGGAGGGTGGGGCTGGGGTCTGCGCCAGAGGCGGGGAGGTCGGGGAGGAGGGCGCGGCTGCTCCGCCCACCCCGCCCCCTCTGCGGACCCGCAGTCGCAGTCGCAGTCGCAGTCGCAGTCGCAGTCACAGTTCCGGGCGCCCTCCCACCGCCCGCTGCGCGCAGGAGGCACGCACCAACCTGTCCTGCTGCCCAGGTGGGCTTGGGCTTTATTTACCAAAACGCGGACATTGGAAGCGCATTCAGGGATGACGTGAGGGTCATAAAGTGCATTTTCTCCTCTGGAAATGGCCATCTGCTGGTGAAGTGCTTGGCAATGTTAATATTCCACGTTGTATTTTTCTGGCACAATGGCTGAACTACAATCGTGAAGGAAGACAGAAAATGGAAACCATATCTACCGCTGGATTTCTAATTTAAGTCTCAGGTCAAAACAAATACACATACGTGCATAGAGATAAAGAGTGTAAAAAAAATGGTACTAAACCAATTCCGTGGTAGATAACTTTGTTTCTTAGAAAATACTTTTGGTTGGGTGCCTGGGTGGTTCAGATGGTTAAGCATCTGCCTTCGGCTCAGGTCATGATCCCAGAGTCCTGGAATCGAGTCCCGCATCGGGCTCCTTGCTCAGCGGGGAGCCTGCCTCTCCCTCTGCCTCTCTCTGTCTCTCTGTCTCTTACAAATAAATAAATAAAATCTTAAAAAAAAAAAAAAAGAAAACACTTTGGTTAAGGAAATTAAATAAAAAGCTAAATATGAAATGGATGGATGTATGTATTTTAATCCCTCAGTATGGAATCGTAATTTAAATATCAGGCCAAAAAAAAAAAAAATCCAGAAAACAAATCACAACTATGAAATGATCCTGTAAGAACAACTTTATTTTCCCATTATTTATTTATTCCATTGTGTATAACTCGGCTTCTTAGGAAAATCTGTGGCTAGTAAAAGGTTAAATGTAAACTTTTTTCCCCCATCAGTATGACATTCACACACACAAAGGGAATAACTTGGAAAGAAATTTCATTTTTTGGCTTATTATGCAAGTTGATGACTTGCATAATTTCCATTTTGCAAAGACTTTTTTGCCAGACAATTCTTTTCTTTAAAGATTTTATTTATTTATTTCACAGAGAGAGAGAGAAAGCCTAGGGAGGAGCATTGGGGGAGAGGGAAAGAAGACTCCAGGTTGAGTGTGGAGCCTAAGCAGGGCTCCCTCCCAGGAACCTGAGATCAGGACCTGAATGGAAACCAAGAGTCTGATGTTCAACTGACTGAGCCACCCAGGAGTCCCTGCCAGACAATTCTTGAGTTGTCCTTCCATGGAATACTTTTGCTTGCATTCCTTACATATAATATTTATCCACAAAACCAAATGATTGTTTTTTCTGTCTGTAAAAGAAAAAAAATTAAATGGAGAAAGCTAGCCTTTTAAAATATATATATTCTTGGGGTGCTTGGATGGCTCAGTCGGTTAAGCATCTGCCTTTGGCTCAGGTCATGATCCCAGGGTCCTCGGACTGAGTCCTACATCAGGGTCCCTGCTCAGCAGGGAGTCTGCTTCTCCCTCTCCCTCTGCTGCTCCCCCAGCTTGTGCTCTCTCTCTCTCTATCTCTGGCTCTCTCAAATAAATAAATAAAATCTTTAAAAAAATTAAAATATATATTCTTTTTTCATTCTTTTCCAAAATCTAACTTTAGTGTCTATCAAGAAAATATTCTTACAGGTGACAAATGATAACAGAAGAAACTTAACTTCAAAATAGCAATTTTGCCTATTTCACTAAAGTGTTTATAACCTAATCATTTATTCTTGTTGGGAAGCACATTGTATATCATATTCATTTATTTGATTATTTCTATCTACCTTAAAATTAGTATTTTTATCTTTTTGCCAAATTATATGAAACTTGATGGAATTAACATATCAGGATTATGTTGCTCTTAAAGTAAAATTTCTTCCTGATTGTCTATAACCTGACCAAATTTTTGAAGTCTAATATATATGTCACTTAAGGCATGATAAGTATTAAAAGGTTGTCCATGGTTCTACTAAAAATCATTGTTGTTCAGTCAAGAAACCAAAAGGAGAAACATACATTTATTATTTAAATTCATTACTGTATTTCCATTGTTGGTATTGACTGCTCAGTTTTAATGAGTATAATTTACAGACATTCAAATCATTTTAATTTAATACAACTTTTTTTTACATGCTTACTACAAGCCTGGAACTAGACAGATACCAAAATATATGTGACAATATCCATGTCTCCAAGTACCTCAGAAACTAACAGAAAACTGAACATACAAACGATGCCACAGCTAGAAAGAAAAATTTTTGTGACAGGGATATTCAAAATACTCTCAGAATATAACTAAGATAATTTTGTTTCCTCTACAGTTATCAAGTGAGCTTAGAGGTAGCTGTGACATTTGAGATATGAGTTATATTCAGAGGAGTGAATGTTTCATATGGACATTGGTGCATTTTAGGACTTTAATCTTAAGTAATTAAATAATTTAAAATCATCCAAGAATTTTAGGGCAAATAAATGTGGATTTTTGTGTTAGAATAACTTGTAATAGTTTGGGTGTGGTGGGATTGAAATGATGAGGACTAGAAGCAACAGGCTCACGAAAGGGTATTTTCAGTAGTTTAAGCCAAAAATGTCTACGTCCTCAGGATTAGAGTGGGAAGAAAAATAAAAGTAGTAGAAAGATCAGAGAGATATTTTGGAAGGAAAGTCAGTTTGTTGAATATTTTATTATGGAGGTTGATGAAATTGTTAAGATGACTAAGCCACTGGATGAGAGGGGCACCAATTTTGAAAGCAGCAGATTTGAACAGGGAGATAACACGTTCAGCTAAAGATGTTGACTTGGAGATACTTGTGAAATAGCAGGTATAGACATTGGATGACCAGTTGAAAATTGGTGTCTGATGCCCCAGAGCTTGAATTGAAATATATCACCTTATAAACCCATAAAAAGAACTTGAAGGAAAAAGAGTGACTAAGATCATCTAAGAGAAATGAGTGGAAAGAAAGAGGAGGTCCAAAATAGACTTGTGAGCAACACAGAGGATTTGGGGATTAGAAGAAAAGAATCCAGATTCGAAGTGACACTAACAAAGATTAAGGTGAGTAAGAACTGGAAGATATTAGGGTGACTACAAATAAAATAAAATAGAATTTCAAAGTGGAATATTAGAAACTTCAAATGTTACTCAGAGACCAAGCAGAATGAGAAGTGAGAAGGTGATTATTGTTTTGGTGGTAATGAGTCAGTAATGAACATCCCCATTTGTGTTCTCCAAGAAGCAGATGCTGAGGAAGAGTTACAGAGCAAAAGGTTTTTCAGGGGGTAACAGCTGTGAAAGAGGAAACAGAATTGGGAAAGGGAGCCTAGGACCATAATAAAGACCTGACAGAGTTTCTGCCAATCCAGAAGGGTTGCTCCAGAGCCAGGAATCTCCAGAGCAAAGATTACTCATTAAAGGAGATGAAGTTTAGGCCTTCATTACAGGTGGCTTGCTCAGTAATTGAACTGATGCACTACTAAAATGTCATGTAGTTGGCTCAAAAGCTGATACTGACCTTAAAGCAACTAAGAGTTTGAGGCTGTTGGCTAGTCACACTCCTCCCTTGGGTAGCAAATCCTTTCTTCAAGGGGGATCTGAGTGGTGCATTTTTCTGTTAGCCAAAAAGACCTTGTGAGAAGCTGGCAGAAGGGACAGAAGCCATCAGGCAGAAAGAAAAGGAGATGAAATGCTGCAGATATTAGAAGGGGTAGTTTATACTATTAGCAGGGCCAGAAAGGTCTGGTTAGGAAGGAAGAAACATAGCAAGGGTGAAGGTGGATAAGAAGGAGGATTAGAAAATAAAATATGAAAGTAAAAAGAAAATGAAATCACACTTTGAAAGAGACGTGATTAAAACATTAAGTTAATAACCTATACTATTATCTGAAAAATAAAGAAGGGAAAAACATTATGCAAAAGGTGTTAAGAGGGTCGTAAAAGTATCAGTTCAAATGTTAAGAGGCATTGTCCACTGTGGGACACTAGAATATAGTAACGGTAGTAATACTTTCCTAATTAGAATATAAGCTGCATAGGACAAGAATTTATTTATTTATTTATTTATTTATTTATTTA